TCCCCGCGTGGGTCTCCTCGAAACTCCCCTCTGCTCTTCAGAAAGCTGATGATGAACCGCAGCATCAACCTCCAGAGGCGTCGCTTCACCCTGGCTCACACCCCCAGGTAGAGTCTGGAGCTGTGGGGCCGTGATGGCCGCAGAGATGACCAGAGGAACCACAGTATTCTGGCTTAGATTTAGCAGTACAGGTCATTTGCTCTTGCCTGTGTACCTGTTTAGGAGTATTTAGGCGAGTATGTCAGCTGCAGCTAACTGTGGTAGTGGAACCACCAATGTATGGGCTGAAGTTCTGCTTAGTTCCTAAAGTCTAAATGCAAACATACTGTGCACGTATTGAAGATATGTAAGGAATACTCAGTATGTTAGGATTTTGTTGGAGCGCATAAATATCCTGTGAAACTATCATCTCTGGTGCGATACCTTTGACAGGCTTGCCAGTAAATCAGGTCTGTATTGCGCCTTTTCTCACCATCTGATGTTCTTTGCGTGTTTTTCGAGTGCAGTCTGATGTGCCAGTGCTTGGTCTTTGTTTCACTGAAGTTACTCCACTCAGCTGCAGATATTCATGTGTTTTTGGTTTATTTTTGTGCAGGCAGCAGTGCTCATCACTATAACATGGCTGCCCTCAAGCTTATCTCATGAAATTGATAGAAACCACAAGATGCGCATGTACAGCCGCATCTCAGTCATGCTCACTGTCTGGTACCAGAATAGAATCAGCTTCTGTTTCGTGTAAATTCAGATGACCTGGACTCTCATAGTGTAATAATTTAAAGGGTTTTTGTCTTCTATGAACACATGAGCTGATGTTTGCTGAGGACACTGCAGGTGCAGGATTGTTCCACATTGGTGTTTGACATCGTTTTTAGCTTTTATTTATTTAGGACTGCAGCGTGCAGCTGATCTACACCCACAGTGACTTCTTCCTGATAGGTCTGGATTAGAAGACGTATCTGAAAACCTGCCGAGCCTAATTTCCTACTGGTGTGAGTGTTTTTTTCTTGAGCTCTGTGAGCCTTTTCCAGCTGAGTGGCATCATCTCAGTAAACAGAGCTCGGCGACCTCCGTGTTGTCGCTGAAGCTGCAGTTTGTTGTTCCATCTACTTGTTAAGCACATACTGTGGTCTGTCAGCAGCAAAGTGACGCCAACTAAACACATCTAACACCTGGATATTTCCTGCTGGGGCCTCAAACACTTTAAATCCATTCACCCGTGATAGCGGTCATAATTCTCATTTGAACAGAGCAGTCCTGCTATCAGCCGTCTCCGCTCTGCTACCTGTTGACAACTTTATGAGCCGTTATTGCATCACGTTGGGCTGAGGATTGCAATGCCAATTAAATATTTGCTTGGTTAACAATGTTATATGATCAGTTAAGCCTAACTTGGGCTGCAGGTGTCTTGGTGGTTAGCACCGTGGTCTCACAGCTTGAAGGTTGCTGGTTGGCGTCCCGGTGAGGACACCCAGGATCTTTCTGCGTGGAGTCTCCATGTTCTCCCAGTGCAGCATGGGTTCTCTCCGGGTTCTCCGGCTTCCTCCCACAGTCCAGAAACATGCTGAGGTTAATTGGTGATTCTAAACTGTCCGTAGGTGTGAATGTGAGTGTGCTTGGTTGTCTGTCTCTAAGTGTAGCCCTGTGATAGACTGGTTACCTGTCCAGGTTAACCTGCCTTCACCCTGAGTCAGCTGGGATAGGCTCCGCCCCCCATGACCCTAGTGAGGATTAAGGTGTAGAGATGATGGATGGATGATCTGACCTTTTTGAGAGAGCAAGAAAAAGCAGTTAGCGTAAACATGCTTACATACATAATTATACATACATACATACATACATACATATATATATATATATACATACACATGTGGAATGACACAGAAACAAGCAGATATTTGGGTTTTTCGATTAGTTTTTTTGCTGTGAGGGGACAGTGTGTTTCATTGTCAGTGTTTTAAAAACGCCTCCAGGTTTCTTCAAGAGAGGAGCCTGTTGTGGAAACTCGTAAAGCGCTGTAAACCCAGCTCTTATGCCCATGCCTCCTGGGTCTGTGCCAGTGTTTACTCCCAGCATACACACTCAGATGTAGGCACGCTGCACATGGAGGCCGTTACAAGGTGTCTCCACGTCGTCGCACTGATGTTAGATCACATTCACCTCAGTGAAATAAAACTAAAAGCCCAAGAGAAACTCGAGCCGAGCCTGTAAAAACCTGCCTTTGTTTTACTGGCAGCAAACGAGTAAGAAACCTTCCTGAGAAACCATTTCCTACCAGAAAACACGAAAGGTGTTTACAGGTTCATTCACCTCTTTAAACAATGGTCTTTGGGTTTGATTAGAAGCTGCGTTTCATTTCCAGGCTTTACTGAAACACTTGAGCCCTACGGTTTCATTAATTTCAGTGTGTCTGTTAGAAGTCTAAATATTAGAGGGCAAAAGTCCAGCGAGGGGGATTTCAATCTGGAAACTAAGATGTTTTCAGGGCAGCGCAGATATTCAACATGTCAGCTTTTATATTAGGCAGCCCTGAGGTCAGGCCGCTGAGGAAGTTTCCCTCTGCAGGCTTTTGTGCAGTGTCCCATTTTTCAGAGCTGGAATAAATGGATGGAGATGAGTTATAGCAGGATGACTGGCAAGGAGGAGGAATTAAACAAACTGGGGGTCCAGCGGAAAATAAATGTCGCAGGCAGCTCAAATATAGAACATACCCACACAGTTATTTTCACTTAGTGTCCAAGTTGATCGAAGCTCTTTTTCCACTTCAGACACCATGTCAGAGGGATCTTCTGGTGTGAAAGTCGTTTTCACAGGCCAGCTCTGCTATGACTGTCAGTTTAGTTTCCGTTCTGTCTGTCATTGATGAAGCAAACACAACTGGGGTCAGGGCTCATAGGGTTTGGCTGTATTTATACCCAGGTGTCTCACGTGCAGTACGCCCCATGCTGTGTGCAACACATCAGCCTCATGTCCGTTATCACACTGCATCATATTTCATTTATCGATTTTATTTTAAATCATAGTTTCCATCACATGGATCTACAGTGTATGGCTTTACTGTATTTCTCAGCTCTTCCTATTTATAGATTCAGTTGTTTTCTCTTCTTCCTGTTACTTTTCGTGCTCTTTCCTGCTGCAACAAGTGAGCTTCTCCACTGTGGAGGAATAAAGTACGATCTGATCTGGTCTTATCTGATGGGCATCGTCATCACATCGGTTTGCAGTCGGTCGGAAGAACTGCTTGAAAGGTAAATACAGCAAAGTTAAGATCTGCAGCTAAGCTGTTCATAGCTTGTATAATAAGTGTTTTATTACTGCTTCACTGGCGGGTGACTGCAAAAGACAGCAAGCATGATTGGTCCATGCAAAGTTAAGGCAATGGGCCTGTGGTGCACTGTTTGACAGAGATCTAAGAGTTTTTGTGTTATTTCTGAGTATTTGATGGACAAAAATGTCTGTTTTCCTTTGGTAAGATGAAAGCCCAATTAACAACGACTGAAATGCCATTTTTAATCCTCAGTTCTTATCATTTTGGCGGTAGCAGAAGATGTCAAGAATCCATGTGATGTATGTAGCGTTCTCCATGTATAAATCACTCTAGGTTCATATTCAGTGTGAATCACAGTCTAATACCAGCCCTCCCATGGGGGACCCTGTATGTTCAAACTGTTCAGGATGCTCACAGTCTCTTCTATATAAAGAGGAGTTTTCTTTTGTCCTCCACTAGAGGCCGCTGTGCTGTGAAATGTGGACAAAGGGCCTCTGAGGAGGATGTGAGTCTGGGATGGATCAGAGGAGAGTAAAGAGAACTTTGACTGGAATTTATTTAACGCAGATATTTTAGGAAGATGAAAAATGGTTTATTAGGTTTTTCTGACTTGATTTTATTGGAAGCTATTATTCCCAGATCAGTGAGTTTGGCAGTGTTTTGTCAGCTTCATCTAACTTGGGCAGAGGAGCAGAAAGGATGAGCTCTGTGACGACATGAGGATTACATAAAGACACTCTTCCTGGGGAAAGTCTGACAGCTATCGTCGTTTGATTTGTGCGTATGATCCAGAATAGTTCAGAGATCTGTGCGGCCTCTGTCCCCCGTGGGGTTACAAGTTTCCGTTATTCATCAAACATCAAAACATATGACACGCATCTTCAGCCACACAGCACAAATGGACTGCTGTGTGGTGCTCATGATGATGAACCAGCTTTTCTCCAGTGTTTCTCTTCGGTTTCATTCAATGGTTCCAGATATATGTGAGGGAGTGAGCGCTGCTTCGGCCCAGCTTCAGAGCAGACGGTTGAGCCTGATGCTTATCACGGAGGACTGTCTGCTGCAGCTCCTCCCTTACGTTCTGAAAAACGCTTCCATCTTTTACTAATCATCTGTCCTCTGAAGTATTTCCACAGTCACGTTTTGGATTATGCCAAATATCTGTGTAGCCCTGCAGAGGATATTGTGTGAATCGGATGGATCATGTTGTGACATGAGGACAGAACTCAATATTACAAAAAAAAAAAAAAAGGAAAATGGAATCACCTTTTAAAAAACAATGTGCACACACGCAGTATTGAAGTATTGATTGACCTGTTGTTGCTGCTGGCACGGAGGCAGGTTGGTCACACGGAAACACCAACTCAACACTCTGACTCTAAGAAACTTCTGATGCTCCAATGCAGCACAGAGGAGCATCACTTCTTCTTCTTCTGCTTCCAGCTCACCTCTGCTATCCTGTCCTGCTAACTCTGTTTTCTCATGCAATGGCCGTCTCTCTCTCTCTCTCTCTCTCTCTCTCTCTCTCTCTCTCTCTCTC